TGCAAACAAGGTACAGTGGTGCCTCGCAAGACGAGCGCCCCGTTTAACGACGGAATTGCATTACAACGAACTTTTTGCAATCACAAAAGCAATCGCAAAACGATGTTTCCTTTAGGGGAATTTTGCTTTGCAGTGATTGGATCCCTTCTTCGGGAAACGATTCTCGCAAAACGATGGTTTTTGGCCAGCTGATCGGCGGTTTCAAAATGGCTGCCAGGTTAAAAAAAATGGCTCCCCTCTTTTTTCTGGGACAGATTCCTCGCTGCACGGGCAGCAAAAATGGCCACGCTATGGAGGATCTTCGCTGGACGGTGAGTTTCAAGCCCATAGGAACACATTAATCGGGTTTTAATGCATTTCTATGGGCTTTTTTATTTCGCATTACGTTTTCGTTCTACAGTGATTTCGCTGGAACGAATTAACATTGTAATGCGAGGCACCACTGTACATTTCAAAAGTAGCATCATGTAGCTAAAAACATATTCCTGTAACAAATACAGTTTTAATTGCTTCCACAGGTCACATTTTAAGGCCCTAATGAGGAATTTTAGAGGCATTTTGACACAAAATGCTTCATATTTTGTTATTTCTTTACCAATCCTGTCTGACATGGAAACAACAACAACAACAACAACAACAAACAACAACAACAACAACAATAATAATAATCAAAGATGCCAGACAAGGGTGACAAGGGTGCATTTCCTCACCCTTATCTATTCAATCTGTATACAGAAACCATTCAGACTAGATTCAGATGAAGGAAGAGTGAAAATTGATGGATGAATAAATCCAAACAGAGACTGCTGCCAAAAATCAGAAGTTTGAGAATCAGAAAGGCAGCAATGAAGGAATTAGAGAAAATTGTCAAGTGTAAAAATGTGTCACTGGAAACTAAGACCATGATCAACCACAGTCTTCTATTCCCGTTCACAATGTATGGATATTAAAGTTGGACAGTGAAGAAAGCTGACAGGAAAAAAATGATTCATTTGTAATATGGTGCTGAAGGAAATCTTTGCAGATATCCTAGATTTTCAGATGTATGAAATTGAGACTGTCATACTCACATCACGAGAAGGTAAGGTTCTCTGGAAAAGACAATAATTCTGGGAAAGGTTGGAGGCAGCAGGAAAAGATGATGACAACTGACTTCCTAAAGGAAACCACAGGCTTCAATTTACAACTGAGTAGGGCTATTGAGGGCAAGGGGTGTTAGGAGATCTCTCATCCATAGGGTCACCATAACTCTGAGGCAACTTAATGGCACGTAACAGCAACATAAATTTCCTTTTCAAATGCTATTTTGACTACTTCAGTGATTTCAGTGAACAAGATTAAACTATGGTTGTTCTGGGTTTTTTGGGCTCTTTGGCCGTGTTCTGAAGGTTGTTCTTCCTGACGTTTCGCCAGTCTCTGTGGCCGGCATCTTCAGAGGACAGCAACCTGTACTCTGGAGTGCTGTCCTCTGAAGGTGCCGGCCCCAGAGATTGGCGAAACGTCAGGAAGAATAACCTTCAGAACACGGCCAGAGCCCGAAAAACCCAGAACAACCATTAGATCCCGGCCATGAAAGCCTTCACGAATATAAGATTAAACTATGTTTTTCACATTATTTAAAAAATGAAAATGAAGAAAAGAAACAGAAACTCTTCAGTATCAAAACTGAACTGCCGCTGTCTTGTTCATAAACTAGTTGAGTATAAAAGCATGTGTGAAATTACAGGATCTTAATTATGGAAATGAAGATCCTATAATTAATTCAGATGCCATCTACAGAGAGGCTGAAATGCTAAGTGCTTCTGTTAATTTTGGCTGCAGAAAATGATGTTATAGAGATTATACATACTGTATGTGAAGGAGCAAATTCTGTGCACTGTAGGCAGGCAGTGTATTGGCAGCTTCCAAATGTATTGTATTAAACACGTGGCTTCTTCCTCAAATGACTCTCATCTCCTAAGCCAGAGGTTTTTCATGGCAATAAGAAATGGAAACAGTCCAATGAAATGAGCTCACTTTACATTTTTTTATTGTCATATTCCATGCTCCAGAAATGACCATCAAACCAAAGCAGTGATCATTCTTCTACATACAGAATGAACATTGTTTTATGGGAAAAGTCCAATTCTCTATGAAGAGGCATTCATTCTTTCTGTGCAATCTTAAATTTTGCTTCACAGCTAGATTGTAAGATTCTTGTCATTCCACTTAACTGCTCTTGTTGGAAGATTAATTTGGATACCAGACAAATATTTAGCTGAAAGTGCATCAAATATTCAGAAAACTTCCCAAATTTTTTCTCAGCTAGAAGAGTAGCACCATTCTCTCCTCCCTCCACCTCAAACAACCAGAGCATTTTAACAGACTGCTCCTCATGCTTTTCCTCAAGCAAGCTTATCTCATCCCATTGACTTGTATTGGTCAAACTAAAACAGTAATTTTTTGTCTTTGTATATGAAATTTGTTGATGTGATATACCCTAAAGGAGGGAGTAAACCTGCCAGACTACTGACTCATAGCTTCAGGACCTTGTGTAGTAGGCACTTTTAATTTTTTCCCCCCGTAAAAGTGGAGGGGCATCCATTTGTGCACCATCCAATTTGACTGTGCTCTTAACACAAATTGATTCACATATGAACTTTGATCCAGCCAGGAACCAAATTTAGCCATCCCATATTGATCCAGATTGCACACAAATTGGGATGATTTGGTTTGAAATTTGGGATTCGTCAAAATCCAGTGTACCGCTCTGCTTCAAATTAACACATAGTTTCAATCTAACACTGACCAACTGAGTGACTCCCTCTAAATCTCTGAGATTAAGAATTTGGAAGGAGTCCAATTCTTTTTATGATGTGAAGTGACAAAGCCCAAAATACTCCAAAACAGTCCTCTTCTATTATAGATTCACTTTTTGTAGAATCAGACATACACACCCCTTTCTGATGAACATTTCCACTGCCTCTCTTGCACCTGTTTCTTACCATTTCCTGCCTAGTCTGCTATTGGTACTCACATCCTAAACACTTTTCCTTCAAACTAATCAAAATACCCAGGTCCACAATTTAATTGTTAAGCCACCAGTGACCCACCTACCCCATGTAAAAATATAAGTGGCTCAACACACATGAGGAAACACAGCTGATTATGAATGAAAAAATGTTTGTTTATTGGTAGCTAAATTAATCCCAGGCTATAGAGAACAAGCAGGAACAACATAGTAATGATTATTAAATGAAGCCTGGGATTAATTTAGCCACCATTGTCATTGCCTACAGTACAGTGCTTCCTGGGAGGGGAACTGGATATCAGCAGGGGTTTTAAAGGTCATTGCCTTACTGTATTAAATGAAGCCTGGGATTAATTCAGCCACCATTGTCATTGCCTACAGTGCTTCCTGGGAGGTGAACTGGGTATCAGCAGGGGTTTTAAAGGTCATTGCCATGCAGGCTACCACTTTTATTATGAAGATAGGCACAGTCAAGGTCCCATTCTGAATTGTGCTCCCAATCAGGATCAGGGCCCTAGGTTGACTTCCTACACAGTTCCCCCTGTCTATCTCTCTGAGGATGTGGACTTGTCCAAAAAAGCTCACATTAAAATATAGCAGTGTCCTTAAAGTGCCAGAACATTTTTGTCTTCTTTATTTTTCTTTTGCTTTTGACATAATATGCCAGCACAAATTAACCTGGGGATTTCTTTAAAGTGCCAGAACATTTTTTTTTCTTTTTCTTTTTTCTTTTGGCGTAATATGCCAGCACAAATTAACCTGGGGATCTCTTCGAAAAGTATCAATATATTTGCCATGCACAGGTACTACACATGCAGTGAAGTGGACTGACATGAAAGTTCAGTCAAAAGCCTTAGGGAGCTACCTAATTTTGTTTTGGAAGAACAAAAGTCAGGCAGGTTTAACATGGGAAAACCATGCTTTTTACATCCCTGTCTGACAAAATGCTTTTCATTCATCTGGAAGGTGACTTCAGTCCTCTGCAGTTTTTCTCCCACTTGGCCCAAAGCCCGTCCACCTGATATTTAAATGAACACATCATTTTTCTCAGAGATTAAAACGAACTTTAATATTTCACAGTCTGGTATTTACATCGCATCGGAAGCAGGTACAACGTAGTCTGTTACAAAAACATTTAGGTAATAAAGTCAGCAGATTGTACAGTCACAGCATGGAGGCCAGGCCACTGCAGAACAACGAAGGGCATGGCAGAGTTCCAAAGGTGCAGCTGTTTGCTATTCTTCCTGGGTACTCTAGAAATCCTTTAATTTTACTTGGAAGGAACTGTTTAACTTTGGGTTATTCTTCTAACATGTGCAATCATCCTCAGCCCCAGGTTAAATCAACAGACCTTCATGAATCAAGGTAGCCATAATAGGACACAGACATGGATCATGATTACGGGTGTTGATTAAATGGGAATGAATCTCAACAGTCCACTTCGAAAAACCAACAATGACTTATGTAAAGCAAAAGCAATCCCTTTTATGTTTGATATTACCACTTGCTGTAAAATGTTCAGCATGTTCTGAATATAAATTTCTGCTTTAGGCACCAGGTTTCTTATACATCAAATATTTGAGATAAATTTCACCAAAGTGACACTCTTCTGTGTCCACTGATTTCTCCTACCCCCACCTGAAAAACATTTTCTCAAACCTTCCCCCAATCTGCTGAAGTCAAGTAGAAGCCACCCCTAACATGTTTATATCAGCAGAAACAGAAATAGAAGCATAAGCTAGAGAGTTTAACACAGTTTTCATCTTATTTTCTTATTTGTCGGAAGAGATTTATTAAGAGCAATTATTTAGTCCCTGAGAGGGACCTGTGTCCATTACGGTTACCAGGTATACATTTTGATTTATTACTGTGATGGTCTCAATGACCCATAAGGTCCCTCCCAGCACCACAATTCAATGATGATGATGATGATTATATGCAACTAGCCTATCCGAATGCCCCAAGCAAAATTCAGACTGAACCAAATAGAACAAACAAACAAAAACGCACTGCCCCTAGCTTTTGTAATTTCTCAGCATAATTGTGACAGCGTTTTAGAGATATGGGGATTGCCTTATACCAAGCCAGACAGTTAGTTCACATAACCCATACTACCACCTCTGACTGAAAGCAGTTCTCTGGGTCTTCAAAGCATGATTCTTTTGAAGCTCTACCTGCAGATTCCTGCTGTTCCCTTCCAAGTACTAATGAGGTCCAACTCTGCTTAGCTTTACAAAATCAAATCATACTAGTATGTTCAAAATGGTATGGTGTGGTTGACTTTGACAAAATAGGAGAGACAAGTCTAACAGCCTCATGAAAGGCATTGCTCATGGGGAGGGAGGAAGACAGAAAAAGACCAGGAGAGACCTGATCTTTTTCCTTGTGAAAAAAGAAACAGAATGCACTATATTTGTTCTTGCATTTCCAGCAACGAATAATGAACTGCTGCCTATAATGGAAATTTTCCCATGCTCTATATAAAGAAGCTGAAGCTGGTATTTCAATATATGTTGGAGCAACTGCATGGTGTTTCTTGGATCTGGTGCCTTTTGAGTCTCTTCAAGTGCCCTTACTCAAAATCTGCTATGAAAGCAACAGGACATAAACTGGAAGATTTTGTAAAATCAAAATCAAAAACAAAAACAAAAAAAAAAACACACACACACAAATTTTATTTTAAATTATGAATGCAAAACTCACTCAATACCTTGATTCTCTTAGCAATCATCGTAGCCAGCCTAAAGACACAGGGGAACTAACAAGAAGTAACATTGCCTTTTCTTTGTAGCCATCAAGAAGTTCTATGCAACTCCACCATTTAACGGAGCAGATGGGGAAGAACTGTATTTTTCTGGCAGGTACATCCATGATACGAAAAGAAAATGTAGAGAAAGGAGTTCTTGTAACTGCATTCAGGAACCATAATTGAAGATTTAGTAGCAACTGGTGGTTAAATACCTTACAAGCTGTACTGAATCTGTAGTTGATGCAAATTTTTAATCTTCAAAATCAAGGCAAATTTCCCAAGATTTTGTCCATGCAGTGGTGTCCACCCTTTTCTGTAATCCTTGATGCTGTTCTATCAGGAGGGAGCAAACAGCAGCAGCACTCCCTTGGCAGACATGTTTGTGAGGAGCAATAAAGTGCCCATAAAAAATGCTCATCCTTTGCCAAAACTGCCTTCTATCCAGTGCCAAGGAAGTCATCCTCTTTCCAGCTCTGCAGAGCATATGAAGGGTATCCAGCACCGGAACAAAAGCCATGTTGTGCCATTTTTGCACTGTTGGCCATGTCAAAGCAACTCCTAGGAGGTACAAGGAGCAATTCCCAAATCTATCGTGTGACCTGTGGACAAAAAAAAGAGAGTGTCAGACAGAACCCCGTCAAACTACAGAATAATCTTTGATCCAGACCCTGATGAGTGTCATTGTTTACATACAGAGCCCTTGTATGGATGCAGTTTACAGAGATTATCCCTCAATATACAAAAATTAGGAAGCCTGGGAAGGCATGGTTGCTCTCTGTGCGCACTTTATAAGCAACTGTGTTAGTAAAGGACTGGAACGGAGAGACTGATTCATTTTTTCTTTCTTACTATTTTTCAAAAAGAAAAATAGTAAGAGCCTCGTGGCGCAGTGGTTAAAACGCTGTACTGCAGCTAAAACTGTGCTCACGACCTGGGGGTCAATCCCAGGTAGCCGGCTCAAGGTTGACTCAGCCTTCTATCCTTCCGAGGTCGGTAAAATGAGTACCCAGCTTGCTGGGGGGGCAATGTGTAGCCTGTATAATTAAACTGTAAACCGCCCGGAGAGTGCTTGTAGCGCTATGGGGCGGTATATAAGTCCAAAAAACAAAACAAACAAACAAAAAAAACAGTCAGAGGTTGTTTAGATTTATTTTTCTTTCCATAGACCTAACATGAGTTTTTTTTTTTACATAAATAATATTCAATCATCTATCTATCGACAAAAATCCTGCTGTGTTTTGATGTCAGTGTAATGCAAATAGTTTAAGTCTTGGCCCTGAACTGTCACAAGTTAAAAAGTTAGTGAAGGCATTTGTTGTGGTGCACAGAGCCACCTGACGCCCAACACAACACAAAATGCCTGCAATAGTTTCTTGAGTTATGGTAACCTGCTGCTGAGATTTATGCCCTAGTTATACCCTAGTTATACCCTAGTGGGCATAACTAATAGGATTTTCCCATCATGCAGCACACACATAAACAATACAAAACACATAAATAAAACATTCAACATTTTGGCTGAAATCCAATTGCAGACTTCCACTTGCACAATAAGGATGATGTCAGCAGCGGCGGCAGCATATTGCCACTGATTAAAGGCTTCCTTTTGTGATTTCAGAGTGTACACAGCTCATACATAGTGCAATGAAATAGTGTAAATCTCAAAACCATAAAAGAACACTTTTAATCAATAGCAATTTGCCACTACTGATAGTATAATTCCCACTGAACCCACAGGACAGCATTTTGGTCATCCTGTGTGACAGGGCTAACTAAAATGCCTAGTTTTTTCCCCCAGAAAACAGCTGGGTTGGGAAATAGTCCAAGAGGTAAATCAGTTGAAATTATTTTGCATCAATAAGGGGTGCAGACCAAAATTTTAACTCATGGCTGGCTCAAAAACATACTCCTATTAATCAACTCCCATTCACACATATTTAGTGTCAACCTTTAAAAGAACTAACATATTTATTGCATTATGGGCTTTTGTAGATAAATGCCTACTGGACTGGATCTATTAAGGGGATACTCAATATTACATGCTGGGTGAGGTTTTGATGAGACCAATAATATTCCACGTCCTATGGCTAAATCCAGTCCTTTCTGTGGGTAATATCCATTGCCTTTGCTGTCCATTGTATGCAAATGATCAAACAAGCTCTCACCTATGCAAAATAAGTTTGGGACCAATAAAAAAATCCAGCTCTGGAGAAATATTCCTGAGATCTAGAATTCAAAAGTTCGAAGCCATGATAGCCTTTCATGCAACCAGGGAACTGGAAGGCAGCCAACCACCTTCCTGAAAGAGGGTTTCATGTCTTCCATATGAGCACAAATGTATTGTGAGTTTGCAGCATATTCAGAGGAGTGTGGTCCTGTGCAGGGCTCCTGCTTTAGGGCTACAAGGAATGCATGCTCTTATATGCATATCCACAAAGGGAAGCAATGAAAGGTGCCACTAAGTCAAACATCATCTAAGATTCAGTAAAGAGAGCAGAGAAGGAAGACGTGCCGAAGAAAAATAGGTATGGCATTTATTTGGGAGCAGGCAGAATCTATTCCAAAATGCTTAAATATTAACATTTCTTAGAATTTTAATATCCGCATGTGCTCCTAAGCTTCCAGTTCCAAGATTACCTCAAGTGACCTTTTTAGCAGGCAAAGTGCAAGGTATGTCTTTTTATTTAAAATTCGTCTAGCAGAGCTGCATTTACTTTGTTCTGCCAGAAAAGAAAACCAAGAGCATGCCAACTCTTCAAAAGCATTTATGGAGAATGCAGATGTGTTTTACAAGTGAAATTGTTCAGAAAAGACCTGAGAGAGGAGCAAAAGGAAATGTTTGCTCCATGTGCAGCTAATTTATGTGAAACCCATCACTGGCCCCTCTTTGATTCTACATGCCCTGTGTACACAGTCAATAATCTAAACAAAGACTCCTTAAATAGGAGCCTGAAGATTGTGATTCAGCCTTTGAAACGCCATATTATTCTGATGCCTGTGGATGATTTTATACTCCTCAGATGTTCCATACCCTATTTACCCATTACAATGTCCTTTCTTATGGATTTCACAGTAGGACTAGTGATTTCTGTCAAGGCAGCCATCAGAACTGTGGATGCATTTGAAATACTGCTATTTAAATTCTATCCCTGGCCTTGTGTGCATGCCAAACAAGAGGCACATTCAGCAGGAACAATTTAGCAAATCCATTGGAAAATAGCAAAGAAATCAAAGTGAGAGTATTGCAGAGAGGTGTGTGTGTGTGTGTGTGTGTGTGTGTGTGTGTGTGTGTGTGTGTGTGTGTGTGTGTGTGTGTGTGTGTGTGTGGGCGTGCGTGTGTGTGTGTGTGTGTGTGT